AGGTACACATACTTTTATAGAGAAATTAAGAAAATAAGTAAGAGTTATTTTCTTGAATTAAAATAAACTGATTTATTAAGTCCCTTAGTATAATTTTGCTTCCTAAAACAGAAAGGGCTTTGAAACAAATTGTTTTTGTTTTTCCAATTACCCCGTCACTTTTAAAATATTTCAATGAAATCTGCAACAGAAAGGATTTTGTAGTAGCCAAAGATGAACACAGAAGTATTTCATACATAAAATACAGAGGTCGCCTTAAAGAGTCTTTAGTTTCTTATCATATTATTTTGATGCAAAAATTTTGAGAAAACAAAAATCTTTTATAAACCTCACTCGATTTACTATAAAAAAGGGATCTCGGAAACGGTAAGAGGTACGAAGTAGCTTAAATTGGGGCAAAGTTGCGCAATCAGATGAGCAACATTATGCCTCTAAAAAAAACAAGGCAAACATGATTACTTTTCGAAATATTTAAAAAAAACGAAATTTTGGAAATCCGTTTTTGTTTCATTTCATTTTGTTTTATTGTAACGCGTGGTGTTAAGAGTTTAAATAACTAGATGGATTTCACAGGGTCTAACGATACTTACAGGGTACGATAATTCAATAAACAAAGAAATCTAGATAAAAAATTTAGATAAATTTGGAACGAATACAGAGATGAATTTTTCGAGGCAAAACGTCTGAATCTAGTTCGGGCTGAGGCAGTACAGTACTGGGGGTCATGAAGGCTTGCAAAGAATGTATTAAAATTTCTAAGGTCGTATTTAAAAAAATGTAGTTGATGATGATCCTGGAGAGACGAAACGTTACATACAAACATTGATTATGCCATTCGATAAAGGGCAAAAAGTGTCCATGAGAAAGTGTTCTTCTTTTCTCAATATCACCTCAAACAAGGCTGAAATGAAACAAAAACGGATATCCAAACTTTCGGTTTTTTTCAAATAATTCATGTTAGGTAGCTTTAATTTTTTAGAGGCATAATATTGGTCCCCTGATTACACAACTTTGACCCCATTTAATCTACTTCGTACCTCTCACCGTTTCCGAGAGCCCTGTAGTGAGAAGCCAATTTGTAACAGAATGTATATATTTCCCTAAAATTTATCACTCCAAAGAAAAAATTTTTCTTTACGTTTTTATTTATATTAAATATTTGTATATAATATTATATACTCGTATAATTTGATATAATACTTATACTTAGCTCTTTTCAAGTGTCGAACGATTACAGCCAAACAACATTTACTGGCCTATCTCAACTTATATTGACATCCACATAGAGATAAATTATTCTAAATCATAAAACATTTAATCTAGTAACAAAGCAAAATAATGGAGATTAATTAGAATAGCTCCAAATATTTAGTTCTCCGTAATTGACAATTGCATCAGAAAATACAAATCAGTTTCCTCCTAGTAACAAAGCATTTTAGCGACATGAAAAAATTTTACAATAAGTGACATTATATGGAGTACTTGTATTTCCACAAAATCTTTACCAATAAAATAATATAGCAAAAAACAAAATACTGCTTCAGAAATTCTTAGTGACCTCTGTGCATTAGATACGAAATGTTCATTATTTGGACGCCCCCAAAATCTGCTTTTACCAAACATTAGGTACTCCAAATATTCAGTTCTCTATAACTTACAGAGAACAGAAATCAGTTTTTTCCTGTCAACAAAGTATTTTAGTGCCATGCAAAAATTTGCTATAAGTGATGTTACACAAAATACTTGTATTTCTACATAATCGCTACCAACAAAATAATATAACAAACAACAAAAAACTGTTTCAGATATCCTTAGTGACATCTACGCATCAAGTAAGAAATAAGTATAAGTTCAACCTCTAGCTGCCCCAAAAATCTGCCTTTACCAATTTTGATTGGAATATTTAAAAAACACCAGTTAGGTATTTAAAAAAATAGAATAAAACAAATTTTTTGAAGGTCCAAAACTTTTAAAAGAAGTAAACTTGTACTAATGCAACTTGATCTAAATCGGTTTATTTTCTTCTAAGAAAGCTACTCCTGAAGTATAATCCTTTACAAACTATCCGGAATACAATCTCAGTACGGTTACTTCTAACAAATAGAATGTTAATGTAATCTATATCGCAGTACTATTTTTTCATATATTATTGTTACTTGTAATAGAACTCATAAATGAAAAAAGTTAATATTTCACAATTTATGTCCCATTTCCATTTCGTGGCGTATATCCTTAGTGAAGTAGAGGCAACTTTTTTACTCTCTATAAAACTGATATTTTGTTGCAAAAAAAGTACGCATTTTTTTTTTAATTAACAATTCTTATGCATTTGTCCCACACATTCTTGATGTGACATGAACAATTCATTACATTTCTAACAACAGAAGATATTTTTATACACCCATATGTTTCAATTTTTATAGCTTTAAAAACAGAATTGGGCACTCAAAACAATATACAGTGTGGATACAAATTGTGGAATATTGCTTATATTTCATAAAATATTCGTCACATCAAAAACATGTTTTAATAAAAGTGTTTCCCGTTTAGTGATATCAAGCAATCTTTCGTATCACAAAAAATGTGGTTGCCAAGGTAACCGATTTAATTTTCTTAAACGCCACCATATACTTTTTTTGGAGAAAATGAATACATTGGACCTTCCTAAATACGATACAATACAATTTTAATGGGGTCACATAAGAAAAAAATACAGTAAATTCAATTTTTATAATTTTATTTTATGTCCTAAAGTAAGGAGTCAAAAAATCAAAAGATCAACGTTTTAAGCTAATTTTAATAGGATAAATGAAAAAATGGAACGGATGGGAACTAATTCATTAAATGTTCAAAATGACGGCCATTACTGTTCAGGCACATTCTTAGTCTCTTTAAAAACGAATCACTCAAGTTTGCCAACGTGTGGTGTCGAATTTGCCGTATCTCGATTCTGATCCTCGCTTTAAGATCTTTCAGATCTACTGGTCTTTCTTTGTAGACAATACTTTTTAAGTAAACCCACAAAAAATAATCACACGGATTGAAATCGGGTGACCTTGCTGGCCATTTAATGGCACCTCCGCGACCTACCCACCTTGCAGGAAACATTTCATTTAGATATTATCTTATGGTCCTTCCATAATGTGGAGGGGCTCCATCTTGCTGAAACCACATTTGATGAATTGGACCTAGGGCCTCCAAAGCAGGTACAATTTGTTCTCTCAACATATTAAGATATTTGTCAGCAGTTAGGTTCCCATCAATAAAAAATGGTCCAATATTATTTCCTAGTATACCTGTCCAGACATTATTTTTTTCTGGTCGCTGGGTTTGAGTTTCTCGTATCCAGTGAGGATTTTTTTGACACCAATATCGATAATTTTGTTTATTATAAAATCCATGAAGCATAAAAGTTGCTTCATCCGTGAACACAATCTTTTTGCCAAATTCCAAATCCATGTTAAATTTATCTTAACATAGTGTTACAAAATTCAACACGTTTTGCAAAATCAATTTTGCACAAGTTCTTGAACGAGCTGCATCTTGTATGCATGAATGAAACTTTTCCTTGTGGAGCTGTTTGAACACAGAACGGTGTGAAATGGCTTGCACTCTACCAACTTCCCGACTGGACAAATGTGGGTTCTCTTGTACTGACAGAAGCACATCGTCATCAGTAGCTGTTTTTGGTCGCCCTGTATGTAGTTTGTCTTTAACGCTTCCCGTCTCGTTAAATTTTTTTTAACAATTTGGAAACACAAGATTGTGTTATTTGAGGTCTGTTTGGATGAAGTTCGTTAAACAACTCGCATACTTCCCTCTGTGTCCTTTTCCTGTCACCATATCCCACCATCATTAAAACCTGTAATCTTTCCGTTTCACTTAACTCAAGCGCCATTATAACTTACTAAGTACTTAAGTACACAGAAAATTGAGTAAAAAAGTACGTTTACTGCAAAAATGCACACAATTACAAGCAACTGACAGCTAATGGCATTGTTCTGATTTTGGAATGGCTAACTTGATGTTAATAATTATTTTGATAAACAGTGTCAAAAGCATAAAAGAAAACTTAAATTTTTTGTATTTTTTTCTTATGTGATCCCATTAAAATTGTATTGTATCTTATTTAGAAAGGTCCAATGTATTAATTTTCACCAAAAAAAGTAGATATATGGTGCCGTTTAAAAAAATTAAGTCGGTTACCTTGGCAACCACATTTTCCGTGATACGAAAGATTGCTTGATATCACTAAACGGGAAATAATTTCCTCTAACACTTTTATTAAAACATGTTTCTGATATGACGAATATTTTAAGAAATATAAGCAATATTCCACAATTTGTATCCACACTGTATACCTTTCTTTCATACCATACCTCTTATTATTCTTCTCTTATTTGCACATCTGTTTGAAAAACTGAATGATATTGATATACTGTCCAAATTTCTTATTTATTGCTGCTTGTTAGCTGATACTGATTTAAATACAATTTGTTGATGTGTGACACAAATAGAAGTTAGTCGTATTTTCTGTATATTCAACAGTGCTACAATTATGCAATTTTTCCCATGTAGTCTTAGCTCCATGCCAACAAAACGCCAAAAAAATAGCAAAACTTTTGTAGGAAATCCGAAGTATTTCCAATTTTAATCAAACTTGTTTCTATTCAACATTAGTGTAGAAAGAATAAAAAGAAACGATGTACTTGTCACAAGCATCAACTAGTGTTGCAACAATTCAAATAAGGGATTCCGTCCCAGAGCTCCTAATAATTGAGATGAACTTGTTGACATTAATACTGTTCCGGCTGCACATCCGAAATTAGTGTTCGCAGCTTTACCTGCGTTGACGTTCCACCGCGTCGAAATTGGATTTCTCTCATTCCTGCCGGTAAAATATGGTCGGTGAGATGAATACAGAGTTCGACATTGCACCGTCAAGAATACGACCCACGAATCTCAAACCGGCGTCGACGCTCACACAACAGAATACTCACCGTTCTCTATGTAGTAAGAGGTTTCGTTGTAGCGATCATCTGTGAAGCCGGGACGTTTTGCTTTTAGGGCCTTCGTTTCCAGCTTCGCCTGAAAGGAAAAGAACAATGTTATTGGGAAATCAGATAGAGGCATAATAAAATAAATCATCTAGAATAAGACTGGGAACCAGTAGCCAAAGGAAAGGCAAGTAAAATGTATGTATGTTGTGATCAAGTTAAGGTAGGTACATACGTTTGAAAAAATATTACAGAGAAATCGTGCGGAAATACAGTTTTTCTGATTATTTATGAAAATGTAACATGTAAGGTAAATTACTTACATACCTATGTTGCAAACAAATTAAGTACATAATATATTTTGCATAATAGTTACTTAAAAAAATTGCAAAAAGTCATTCTTTATTGATTGGCTGTCATAAGAGTAATAACTAAGACTGTCAGAACTGAGCCAAGGAACATAGGTGTACGCATTATCTATTAAAAAGCAATAAATTATATTGTCTACAATGCACCACCATAAACACCAACGAATAGAAATTAATTACGCAATATCCGCACGATAACAAAGACAACAGTATACTAACGTGAACGTGAAAAGCATTCTGAGGCAGTGGCTTACGCATGTCTCGGTAACCCGCTTGGCACGCCATTGAATTGCCGCTCTCTCTCTCTCTGACAGCCCTAGTAATACTCAGTAAACACATATACCTACAGGGTGAGTCAGTTTTTTTTAGACAAACTTTAACAGGAGATAGAACACATGTTTTTAAAGAGAAAAGTTCCTATAAGCATATGTCGTAGAAGGCTTCGTTTCCGAGATACAGGGTGTTGAATATAATTTTTTTTCTCGAATTTTCATTATAACTTATAAACGAATGCTTAGATTTTTTTCATGTTTGGGAGATAGTGCCTATTAATTAAGGGGCATAAAACAAGCGATAAAAATGGTCAAAAACTTGCACAGTGGCGGAGTGGAGGGGGTGCTCAACCTATTTCTTAAACAGAAGTTCTACGCCAATAACTATTTTTAAAAAAAAACTGTTATTTTCATTATCTACATACAATTTAACAAAAATATTGTCCCTTCTTCTGTTTCGAAATTCCTGTGCGTTTCCGAGTTATTTTGATTTTTATTGTTTGTTGTGGTACTAATTTAAGTAATTTATTTATTATTAATTATCGACTAAATATTTAATTCTTTCAACGANTAAGACTGGGAACCCGTAGCCAAAGGAAAGGCAAGTAAAATGTATGTATGTTGTGATCAAGTTAAGGTAGGTACATACGTTTGAAAAAAATACTACGGAGAAAACGCGCGGAAACACAGTTTTTCTGATTATTTATGAAAATGTAATATGTAAGGTAAATTACTTAAATACCTATGTTACATACAAATTAAGTATATAATACATTTTGCATAATAGTTACTTAACAAAAATTGCAAAAAGTCAATCCTTTATTGATTGGCTGTCATAAGGGTAATAATAAGACTGTCAGAACCGAGCCGAGGAACATAGGTGTACACATTATCTATTAAAAAGCAACAAATTATATTGTCTACAATACACCACCATAATCACCAACGAATAGGAATTAATTACGCAACATCCGCACGATAACAAAGACAATAGTATACTAACGTGAACGTAAAAAGCATTATGAGGCAGCGGCTCACGCATGTTTCGATAACCCGCTTGGTACGCCATTGAATTTCGGCTCTCTCTGACAGCCCTAGTAATAACTCGGTAAACAAATATATATTTTTAAAACGTATTTTCAACGTGCCATTAATTAGTAAATGATACATACCTTAATATTTTTTAGTAACGAGGATTAGTCTCATATTGTTTAAAAATATCTTTGTTTTATATGATTCATATTTAATTTTGTTTTAGGCTTCACCAAAAACTCACATCTCATAAGAAAGACTGATAGTTATTTTAATATCTATACATTCCATATAAATCTATCAATTTTATTTATGTATCTTCTTCTTCTTCTTCTGTATCTTTAATAAATAGAGCTCGGGGTTTTCGTCGGCAAGTCGGCATGGGCGTGTTTGTAGTAAACTAATAAATAAACAGGTAGGTACAAATAGAAATAAATAAATTTGCATAGTTTATCAGCGAAAGGTCGTTTTTTACCCCTTGGCGCATTCGACATTATTAGAATATTAAAAGACGTATACACGAAACAAACGCGAAGCCAGTAACTGCTGTTATTATCTGTTTCGTACGGTGCGCTGCCGCTGTAGCGAAATGCCGATGTGACGGCTATGATCATCCGACCGAGTCCCGAGCTCTATTAATACACTAATTATGGATTCTAACAAAGGTTGGAAAAACGGGTTATTTAAAACTTACCTTCCAGATTTAAAAGTGATAACCAAAAGTATTAATCAAATGTTATATTGTTGCGTAAAAGTTAAATTAATTCTAAAAATAATTGATAAAACTAAACGTTTATTGTTTCGTTCTTTGAAACTGCGAAATTTTTAAGTTGATTGTACGTCAAAATTACAGGTTTTTCTCAAATGGCGTTTCTATAGTACAAGTGTTTACTGGGAAGGAAACAATATTGCAGATAAACTATTTTAATTGAAGTCACCATTGTGAAAAGTTCTTTTTTATTGTAACTTGCTGCTAATTTACAAACTATCCAATTTTTAGATCTTGAATAATAAATAAATGGCTTGGCTTAAAAAATTGGCGTATAAAAGTGTCAATGAGTTGTGTTCGAAAGCGTTACACAAAATATGTTCCTCGTCTGCTTTTCGAACAAAAAAAGTATATAAAACATCGATCTTAAACAATTGTCTAAGTTAACAGCTTATAGCAATCAATACCGCACTAAGACATTAAAATTTTTAAACGAGACACCCAATAATACATATTTAATGACAAAGGTAATTTTAATGCAATAATTCATTTGACTGGAGTGACTAATAGTAGATATTTTCTAATTTTAAGTTGTAGCAATTTTTGCCATGAAGAACAGACGAATATAAATATGCCACAAAATTCCGCTTCGAANATATGTTTATAGGAACTTTTCTTTTTAAAAACATGTGTTCTATCTCCTGTTAAAGTTTGTCTACAAAAAACTGACTCACCCTGTATGTTTTTAAAACGTATTTTCAACGTGCCATTAGTTAGTAAATGATACATACCTTAATATTTCTTAATAACGAGGTTTAGTCTCATATTGTATAAAAATATCTTTGTTTTATATGATTCATATTTAATTTTGTTTTAGGCTTCACCAAAAACTCACATCTCATAAGAAAGACTGATAGTTATTTTAATATCTATACATTCCATATAAATCTATCAATTTTATTTATGTATCTTCTTCTTCTTCTTCTGTATCTTTAATAAATAGAGCTCGGGGTTTTCGTCGGCAAGTCGGCATGGGCGTGTTTGTAGTAAACTAATAAATAAACAGGTAGGTACAAATAGAAATAAATAAATTTGCATAGTTTATCAGCGAAAGGTCGTTTTTTACCCCTTGGCGCATTCGACATTATTAGAATATTAAAAGACGTATACACGAAACAAACGCGAAGCCAGTAACTGCTGTTATTATCTGTTTCGTACGGTGCGCTGCCGCTGTAGCGAAATGCCGATGTGACGGCTATGATCATCCGACCGAGTCCCGAGCTCTATTAATACACTAATTATGGATTCTAACAAAGGTTGGAAAAACGGGTTATTTAAAACTTACCTTCCAGATTTAAAAGTGATAACCAAAAGTATTAATCAAATGTTATATTGTTGCGTAAAAGTTAAATTAATTCTAAAAATAATTGATAAAACTAAACGTTTATTGTTTCGTTCTTTGAAACTGCGAAATTTTTAAGTTGATTGTACGTCAAAATTACAGGTTTTTCTCAAATGGCGTTTCTATAGTACAAGTGTTTACTGGGAAGAAAACGATATTGCAAATAAAGTATTTTAATTGAAGTCACCATTGTTAAAAGTTTTTTTTTATTATAACTTGCTGCTAATTTACAAACTATCCAATTTTTAGACCTTGAATAATAAATAAATGGCTTGTCTCAGGCTTAAAAAACTGCCGTATAAAAGTGTCAGTGAGTTGTGTTCGAAAGCGTTACACAAAATCCTTGTCTGCTTTTCGAACAGAAAAAGTATATAAAACATCGATCTTAAACAATTGTCTAAGTTAACAGCTTATAGCAATCAATACCGCACTAAGACATTAAAATTTTTAAACGAGACACCCAATAATACATATTTAATGACAAAGGTAATTTTAATGCAATAATTCATTTGACTGGAGTGACTAATAGTAGATATTTTCTAATTTTAAGTTGTAGCAATTTTTGCCATGAAGAACAGACGAATATAAATATGCCACAAACCTAATTCCGCTTCGAAGAAAAATTTTTGAAGGAAATTTACCAAGAAATATTTCCACATTAAATAAAATGCACCACTTTTCTCGACTTCTCTATCTCGTACACTTATCATGGAAAGTATAATAAAACAGATTCATTGCTCCTGTATCGTCACCCCTTATCTCTTAAGTCTTTGTTAGGTCCAGAAGAAAGTTGTAGCGGAAAAGGAACAATAAATAATGTTGGCTCCTTCGAAATTAAAATAAGAAAATGGCAATAGATAAACCTTTTACAAATGAAAACGACGAAATACAAATTCTACGTCGAAGTAGATTACAGAAAATGCCTAAAGTAGTTGGTCATTGTTAAATTATAGAGAAATTTATGTAAATATAACTAAATAGAAATATGGAAAGGATTTTTTATTGAAAATAAATGTGAATTAAAAATAAAGTAAGGTACTCATAACTGGTTTATGAAATGTATCAATATTGAAAAATTAAAGTAGGTACTATTAACAATATACGAGGTCTATTCAGAAAATAACTAACTTTTTTGAATTACGCGCTAATGGAAATTTTAGTGATATGAGGTTGGCAACATTGCGTTGCACATAATCTAGTTTTCGTGATATTATTATTTGAGTGCAACGTATTTTAAAGTTAGTGACGATTTTTGAAATGTGTAATTTTCTGGAACAACGATGCAACGTAATTTTGCATGAAACTGTT